ACACGGCTAGTGAATGAGACCCATTGCCCTTAAAAAGTATCAACAAAACTAGTTAATTTAATTTGGAAATTGATTATGCTCAATATTTGTTGTGTGCTGTATTTTTATGCTTATTTGAAGTCACCATGAAATCAAAATGGACAATTCTTGTTTTTAATGGAATTTGCAGTATTTATTATAAATTGACATTTTATCCATGCACATTGCACATCAGTTTTTTTTTTTTATTAATGTGCCCTCGTAATCTTTAATCTAAAAATAACTTCCCCTCCAACTTGCAGCGACATCTCTTCGAGTTGTTGAGTCTCTCGTGTGGAAATCGGTCGCTTCTAAGGTTCCAAGGAAGTTAGAATACTTCCTTTAGAAGGCAGTAGGCAGCTCACTAGTTGTTTGAACAAATCTAGTTTAATTATAATGCTATTTTCTCGAATTGAATGTCTTCTCATTTGTTTTATGTCTTCATCTATAGGCAATAGCGGACAGCTCCATGCTACCAGGACAAGAATTTAAACTAAATTTTACTGTTACAACCAACGGATCAAGCGGTACCTACACAATTCATGCCAAAAATGCCAAAAACATCACTATCATGCATCCATCAACGTAATTTCTCTACTTACTTATCAAATCACTCAGTGATGTTTTGACTCGTACAAGTTTTTATAGCTTTTCTTATCAAGAGCAAAACTCATGTCACAGTCATGTTTCTTTGTCATCGCAGGCTCAATCTGGAGAGTGGCGGCAGTGCTCAAGGGACAGTGTCTCTCACTCCTCCTGCAGATACGGTCTCAGGCACAGATGTTACGCTAACCATCGAGGCAGAGGGACCTGGAGGAAGTGATTCTAACTATGCTGTCGTTCGCCTTTCTGTTCTCTCCAAGGTAACCTCACATGCTTTCAGAAAGACTATATTTATTTGTGAAATGTTATTTTTCAACAAAACACAAGCCACATGAGTCATTTCAGTCATTGCTTCTCCACTGATTTTGCTGTAGAAAAAAAGCAAGCAAACAAACAATAATATCAAACAATTATATTTATCAGACCCACCAGAATGCAAAATTGTTGACACGACTGAATTAATAGGAAAATGGATCATTTAGATCTAAATTTCAATGGCAGCAAATAATTTTCCACACAAAACAAATTGTGGTTGACCTATATTTAATATACCGTTCAGAAGTGTGTGGTAAGTATGATTTCTTTTTAAATAAATTCATTATTTTATTCAGCAAGGAAGCATTAAATTGATCAAAAGTGACTTTTTTTATTTATTTTTTACATTGTTATAAAATATTCCTATTTTAAATAAGCACTGTTCTTTGCTAAACTTTTCTTCAAAGAATCCACAAAAATATTAAGCTGCACAACTGCTTTCAACATTGATAAGAAATGTTGCACCAAATCAGCATATTATAATGATTCATGAAGGATCATGTGACACTGAAGACTAGAGTAATGATGCTAAAAATTCAGCTCTGCCATCACTGGAATAAATTACAATGTATTTTAAATTGCTATAATAGTTCAGAATTTTATAGTTTTTACTGTGTTTTTAATCAATTAAATGTAAATGTCTATTATAAATATTCTATAATTGTATGTGGCAAGTTAATGCTTCAGTAAGCTGTTGTTTTAACTCATCCTTCACTGTTCCGTCCAGGTGACTGACTTGACACCTCCAAAATGTGAAATTGTCGATGTACAGGGTACTTGCTACGCCTCCTCTTGCAGCTCATCAAACTGGGAACTGTCTGTCAACATCACAGACGGTAAAGGCACAGGCATTGAGAGCATTTCCATCCAGCAAGGCAGTGGAAATTTAACCCAGAAGGAAGAGGAAGACAGTGTGATGGGTCTATATGAGGCCTCCTGTTGTTCAACTTCCGTGACTTTGTCCGCAGTTGACAAGGTTGGGAACGTGGGCAGGTGCAGTTACACCATGAAGTCTAGCGCAGGCTCTCGCCTCATCAGCATGTCCCTCCCTCTGTGGACATCTCTGCTTTTATACGTTTTTCTACGTGACGCATTCCCTCTGTAATGATATGGTGTCCATCAACCAAATACACAATCATCCTATCATTCTCTTTCTCATCCCATCCTTCTATAAATATTACCTTCCATAAATATTATTTTTATAAAGATTTCTCAGAGCTGTGAGGTTGTGTAAAGCAAAGCATTTCATCCTAATGAAGAACCATGCTGCTTATTCAGAACCTACAAACACAGATTAAAGTTTTATGTGACCTCATTCATCTATCATGGATTTAATTTTGACAGTTAGGATTGTCATATTTCTTACTAGTTTAGTGAAATATCTGCATGACTAAAATATAAATGGATGTTCCAAAAAAAAAAAAAAAAAAAAAAAAAGAGTTCTGATCTACAATAATACTTTTTTCTGTCCAAATATAGGAGGAAATTGTGTAACCATTATGTTACCACTATAATGAATATCAATATAATTTTACAAATATCTGCAATGACTTCTAAACAAACAAAATAGTATTTTATGGCCCAGTTACCCTAATGTACAACTTTTCAAAATGTAACCTTAAGGACAATGACATTTATACTTTAAGCATTATTGTTATGCACCATAAACATAGAGTCATATGTTAAATAACTTGTTGTTTTCTGTTTGCATTGAATGATGTAGTACATGTTGCAACATGAACATGTAATCTAGAAGATTTCAAGCAGCTATTCCTATGTTAAAATACATACCCGAGTTGTTTACATAACTTTACATAAACCGGAACACACATATGAGCTGTACTCGCATATGGCTTTGAGTCTTTTTTAAGCAGGCTACTCTGTTCAACAAAAGCTTGTATAATTGCCTAAAATGAAAATATACATATTTTAAAGTGATGCAGATTTTTCTACATTTTATCTTGTTTTGTCTCACTTGCAATTAATGTCAGTTATTTGAACTTATTTCAATATTGAGGTTTACAAAAGGCTTTTTAGACAGTCTGTGTATCACATAACATTACACTGCCACCCAGTGGTTGATATGATTTGCAACATTTTTCTTTCTTGTCTGCATCATACTACATTCATATGTATCAAATAGATCAGATACAATTTCAAGAGAAACTGTGGAGCAAACAAACTTTGATCATTTTTATTTTTTATTGGACACAAATTTGTCTTGCAAACAGCAATATGTGACCCTCATACAATTAAAAAAATTCAAATGGACTCCATGTTTCAATTTGGGGTGTTTATATATATATATATATTAAACTCCCATTGCAAATCAGGTTTATTGGCAACATTTACAGACTTTCATCTATTTGCAATGAACAAATCAAACAAAAGTTATTTAAATAGCTCAACACAACAAATGTTTCAAGTGGTTTCCCCAAAATCAACTGAAAATGCAACTTTTGATTTTTGCAGTCTAAAATTATTTACCCCCCTGAATAGAATCCCTCATAATAGAACAAATCTGCAAAACGGGTGTTGTTTCAAGCACACCAGATGCAGTTAATCAAGGGCTTCATTAGTTGCACCTGGTGTGCTTGAGCTAGAACACATGAAATATCTGAACTGGCTAGGTTTGTTGAGTCATGTTTGACTGCATGTTAGAGATATGGTGATATAAGTCAAAAGAATGGTTAAGAGAAGAGTCCAACAAGTTAAGAGAAGATTTCATCGCCTTCACAAACAAAGAACAAGTTACAAAATGATAGCTAAGGCACTAAATGTTCCTAGACACCATTGGAAACATAGTTTGCATGTTCAAAGTTAAAGGAACAGTGGTTACACTACCTGGACGGGGCAGAAAAAGGAAGCTATCAACGGCTAGATTTCTGACAAAGCAAAAAAATCCCTTTCAGAAAATCCCTTGAGTGACTGAAAAAGACCTGCAGCAAGACTTGGCAACAGGCACAGAGTTTTCAGCTTGCACAGTATTGGCGGCCATACACTATGCGATTTTCGTCCGATTTTGAGCCGAATTCTGACTCGTGCAACTCTTTTTCGGGTCGGACCGATTTTCAGCTTTGTCGTGCGTCGTTTATCGTGCAGTGTACAGGTAGAAACGAGAGGCGATTAACCTCTCCCGATCGACAATCGGATGGTCGGATGAATTTCTGGCATGTCAGATATTTTGGTCGCTCCTCGTGACTATATCGCACAGTTGAATGCAAAGCTACGAACCGATTGCCCTAAACTCAGTGTTTTTTCCCTCACTGCGCCTGCGCGAAAACAGAAGTTTAACCATTTCATCTGCAGCAAAATTAAATTAAAATAAAAACGAAAAGAGGGAGAACTTTAAGTTCTGTAGTTCAAACTAGCTACAAATTACTGTTGTTTACCTCCAGTTCGTGTTGCAAAATGGATTAACCATATATTACCCACGTCTTCCAAGCCACCTGCGATAACGCCTCTTTTATTCATTTGTTAAACAATGTTTTTGAAATAAACCTGTTTTTAATTTTCATTGATGATTAATTATTGCAATGTTCGGACATATTATAGACAGTTAATAGTTATTTATATGCCTATAATTCATTGTAATCGACCTAAATGTTTTGGACAATTTTCAATGAGGAGTAGCTTCTATGTAATATTTTATTATCCTCACAGCACGTTGGTTATATGCTGTGAAATTATTGCATGGCAAATTAACTATAATAGCGGATCAATTAAATAATAAAATTAGCCTAGGCCTCCCCTAATAATGATAATACAATAATACTAATAATAATTTAATGCATAAATTGGAAATGGTAAATCATCTTGATATTGATAGCTGATGCTTGTTTTTACAATATCTCTGGACATGATATCGTCTATAGGCGCAATCCAGGGGTTTATCGCAGATATTTCACACATATAGTGTGAGCAGTGAAGTCGCAGCTCGATGATCGGACCGTATAGTGTGAGCACATGAATCCTGAACTTTGGCTTTACATCGCATGCGATTTACTCGTTCAGTGTGAGTAGGTACCGTGCTGAAATCGCAAAGTGTATGCCCGCCTTAAGGCGTGTACTAAACGCATGCCAGAACTCCAAGATGTACACCACTACTGACCCAAAAGCACAAGAAAAGTCAGCTCCAATTTGCTCAAAATCATATAAATAAGCCACAGAAGTTTGGGGATTCTGTTCTGTGGAGCAATAAAACAAAACTTTTCGGCCCTATGGATCAGTGGTATGTCTGGAGGAAGAAGAATTAAGCATATGCTTAAAAGAACACTATGACTATTAAGTATGGTGGGGCTCTGTGATGCTCTGGGGCTGCTTTGCATCCTCTGACACTGGAAACCTGCAGCATGTGGAAGGCAAGATGGATTCATTTTTGTATATCAGGAAATCCTAGGAAGGAGACAACGTCATGCCATCTGTGATGAAGCTGAAGCTTGCGTGTCATTGGACCTTCCAACAGGACAATAATCCCAAGCATACCTCAAATTCCACCAAGGCTTGGTTGCAGAGGAAGTCCTGGAAGATTTTACAGTGGCCATCAGAGTCACCTGACTTGAACCCCAAAGAAAATCTCTGGTGGGATTTGAAGGCATTTGCAGCACACAAACCCAAGAATATTACTGAACTGGAGGCCATTGAGGAATGGGCTAAGATTCCATTTCCTCATAAACGCTGCCAGAAGCTGGTGTCTGGTTATACATCTCGTTTGCAGCGGGTCATAACAGAAAAAGGGGTGTTCTACCATGTACTAAAGATGCTTGCCATGAAGGGGTTGAATACTTTTGAGACTGCAGAAGTCATTAAAAGTTGCATTTTCAGTTGAATTTGGGGAAACCACCTTTTGGGGCAAACAGCTGAAAGTCTGTAAATTTAGCAAATAAACCTGATTTGCAATAGGGGTTGAATAATTTCAATTACAACTGTTACAACTGGTTGAGGAATTAATAGAAAAATAACCCCGTTTTACTTCACATTTAAAAAAAAATGTTAACAATTAAAGCACTGTACAAAATCTATGCAGTAATGCAGTTAAAATATAAAAATATAATCTTTTATTTTTCTCTTTTAAAAATAGCATATCCATAAATTAATTTGCAATCAGGCCTAATACCATTATATTTTCTGTAACAGAATATTTATCTACCGTATATCAACTGCTTTGTTAAACAATCCAATTACTTTATGTAACGTGTTGTGTGTTGGCATGTTTCTTGAGATGGGCTGACTGAGTGAAACGTTTCCCACATTCTTTGCACTCAAACGGCCTTTCCCCTGTATGGATGAGCTTGTGTCTTTTGAAGTTACCTAGATCCACAAATCCTTTTTCACAGTGGGGGCAAATGTAGCGTTTCTCTCCTCTATGCCCCTGCATATGCATATTCAGAGCAACCCTATGTTTAAACTTCTTCCCACACAGCGTGCACGAGAACGGCTTCTCTCCGGTGTGCATGCGCATATGGGTAGACCGGTCTGCCTTGGCCAAAAACCTCTTTCCACAAACTTTACAAGGAAAAGGCCTTTCTCCTGAGTGAATGAGCTGATGTTTGGTAAGGGTAAAGTGGTACACAAAACTCTTCCCACATTGTTCACACTGATACCGTTTCTCCTCTGCATGGACCTTCACGTGCCGGTTAAGGCCTCGCACACTAGGGAATGCCTTTCCACACTGGGAGCAGGTATAAGGTCTCTCTCCTGTATGAAGTCTCATGTGGTTCTCCAAGGCAGACGCGTTGCTGAGGACCCTTCCACACTCGGGACACTCAGTATTTTTCTGCAATGTTTTACTCGAAGGTTTCGATAAGACGTGACTTTCGCTATTGGAGCCAGAATGGGGTGTTTCACTAATCAAGTTGTTCTGCACCCGATCCACCCTCTTATCATTGACCATGACTGTGCCGTCCTCACCTTGTCTGGATTTAGAGAACATCTTTCTCTGTTTTCTCAGTCTAGACTGGAGTGTGGGAGTGTCTTCATCTTCCGAGAAATCTTTATCATTTATATCTGTGGTTTCTGCACTGAAACATGGGGAAAGTGGTACGTCTCCTTCAAAGTTGTCAACTGGGGACAGAGAGGTCTCTGAAGATAGAACTGGCACTCGGCCTAAAACAACGCTAGCGGAAGCGACAGCTTGTTGCTCCTTAAGTGTCAGCAGAGGCGCAAGCTGCCCAGATGGTGGAAAATGGTGCATGGGTGCCTGCTCCGGGGCCTCTTGTGGGGTCATCACAATGGATGAGTGCAAATGCAAAGTTTCAAGAGATTCAAGCAAACCAGGTGTATTATCGGGTGGAGGAAACATCTGTTCTGAAGAACAGGAGAACTGATTGGATTGGATTGGATATTGAGAATGTGTAAGTGGAGGTTGAGGTGGGTTTAGGGAGACAGATCCCTGAATTGCATTAACTGGAAGGAGGGGAGAAGTAAATGGAATGTGTGTTGGAAGGTAAGAAGGTGGTGTCGGTTGAGTCGGATTATGTGGGAGCACCAAAGGGAACTGGAATGATGAACTTGAAGTCACAGAATGTGCTGGTATTTCTTGTAGTGATGCAAAAACTTGGGTATGAGGTGGAACAAGGCTGGGTGAGAGAATCCGATCCTGAACTGCTGAAGGTGTTTTTGGTGAGACAGAAATATGGCCTGATGGCATGGCAGCATGTACTTGTGGAGGAACCTCCTGGTCTGGTGTTTTGATGGTTTGTGGTGGAAATAATGGTATAAGCTGAGATTGGGTAAATGGTTCAGTGGCTTGGTTTAGCAAGGCAATGGTTGAAATACTTTTTTCTGTATTTGTAACCAATGCCTGAGGCCATTGTTTGGAGGAATGAGGCTCCATTGCAAAGACTTGGTTTGGAGGAACAGGGGAAATAAACGTGTTTTGAAGTGGATGACAGATATTTGACCCCACTTTCTGAGGGACTACTGTCTGGTAAGATGTTTGAGGATTTGGGTTTGGTCGTCGGTGAACTGATGATGCTGTTGACTTGGCTTGAGGAATTGATGGAGCACCAGACAGCTCGATCATTGGCACAGACAAGTTAACAGTAGGAGCAGGAGTCTGGGCTGAATTACCAAGTACAGAAGTAGTGGATGTCTGTGCTGGTGCACTGACATTTTGTCTTTTGGTTTGGGAAGACAAGTCTTCATTGATTTCCAATGTTCTTTTAGATGTACCTTGGATGGATTGTATAATCTGATTAGGTTTGTGACTACAGGAATCCACTCTGCGACTACAGGAGGAAGGAATCACTGATGGTGGAGACTTTTCTCTAATGTTGCTGTGGTGCCTGGTTATTGTTTGAAATGATGGTGGGATCACAACTGTGAATACAGGGAGGTGAAGATGCAAGAAATTAACTTTAAGAAGAACAAAATGTATTTACAAATGTGTGAAGTACATTTTGGCTATTTGGACTGCGTGAATTCTTGAATTCTCAGATACTTTAGCGAAATATTTGAGTTGAGTGCTTGGGGTGGGATGGGGTGTTTCATTCATATTTTTACATTTTTAGTCTACATTGGTCTAGGCACCAAATGTTTTTCAACTTAAAAAGAAAAAACGAAATACAGCACATACATATTTTGTCAATTTAAAAAATTATGTAAAAATATTTATATATATATATATATATATATATATATATATATATATATATACATACATACATACATACACAACCCCAAATCAAGAATCTGTGATTTGTTAATTCTCTTTAACCTTTATTGTTTAGCAATGCGTCAACATCACCTTTCCTTTTAATTACACTTTTTAAATGTTTGGGAATTAAGGATATTAATTGTTGAAGTTTTGCAAGTGGAATTTTTGTACCTGCAATTTTTGTACCTGTTGCTGATGAAAGTTTGGATGGTCCCTTTTATCTTTGGGACTGAGAACTCGATATCTGTTTTTCCCAAAAACAAGCTGCAGCATGGACTCATCTGACCACAGCACACATTTCCACTGTGTTTTAGACCATCTGAGATGAGCTCGGGCCAAGAGAACTTGGCAGCATCTCTGCAAAGAACTGATGTAAAGCTTTCTCCGTGTGTAACAGAGATTCAAGTGGCATTTCTTGATGCAGACTGTTAAGTGACAATGGTTTTCCAAAGTACTCCCGAGCACATGTGGCTGTATTTAACACAGTAGCATGACGGTTTCTCATGCAATGCCTTCTGAGGGACTTTTGAATTGTTTGACAATTCTCTCATGATATTGGGAACAAAGTGGTTATGTTTACAAAATATATTTAAGTTGGTCAGTGAAAAATTTAAAAATCTTTTCTTTGTACTTTTGTCAGTTAAATAAAGGTTGACAAATCACAGATTCTTGATTTTATGTCCCAACTTTTCTGGTTTTGGGGTTGTATATACATAATATAAATATATATATATATATATATATATATATATATATATATATATATATATATATATATATATACACACACACACCCACATTTAAATATCAACACAGTCTCAACATTCGTTGTATAGATACGCACTTTCATGAGATCGGGCTGTTAAATATATATTTAAATGGAACGTTTAAAAAGCTAATTTTTATTCAAGTTTTAAAAAAGTGTATAATGTTGTTATTCTGTTTTATCAACTGCTGCTAAATAAGTAACATATGATAATATTTTCTCATTGTTCGGTCAAATTTGTGAATGACTCTTATACCCCTTTCCACGGTGTCCTTATTTGGCTCTCTGCGCACCAGTATCGGCTCAGCACCTTCTTGCTTCAGTAGAAAGTATCCTGGTGCGTAGTTGTCGCATTCAGTATCATGAGGCTGAAGACAGAACATAAAATCATAATGCATAAAAAGGCCAGCATTAAAATATTATTCACGTTCAAAAGATCAAATATGAACATAAGATTTAGAAATGAAACTAAACTCTAAGTGACAAAGAATGAAGTCTCACCTCACATAACATTTTGATATTCAATCAAACTCTTACAGAGAGGGAATATGACCTCAGTCTGTGTGAACTTTATTTGACATGCAAAACAGAAAAGTGGGAGGAAGGAAGGGAACGAGAACCAGAATGAGTAAACATATACTAGTCTATCGTTTCTTACCTCTTGTTTGATGAGGAGCAATGCAAGCTGTCTGCTCCCATCCTCACTGGCACAAAGATCTGTGAGTTTATCACTCGTAATGTCTCCCACACTAAGATGTTGCCCTATAAACTGAGGAGGGCTGCATCCCTGGTCAACCAAAATGGGCTTTTCTAACAAATGAAAATGAGAAATAAGACCAGCACAAAAGTATTTTTTTTGGAAACTGTAGTTAACCCCTTTGAAGAAAACCCTATAGAAAAGTGCACAACACCCATAGTGAAACCATCTTAGTCTAGTTTTTTTCTTCTAGATTTTATTTTTTAGCAGGACATACATTACAAATGATTATATCAGATAAGTCCATAGAGTTAAAAAAAAGTACGAAATTCTAGCTTTTATGCATTTACCATCTGACTTCGTCTAAGCCGTTAAAAGTCGTTATAATTTTCCAGGAAGTGTTTATTGAACGCCATAACACCACACATCGTTACAAGAAAAAGACCTACCGCACTGCACGCCAATATGACGATGTTTAGGGACATTCGCATTCCTCTGACTCCCATATTCAGTGGATCTCTTTGTGTCTTGGCTGGATGAATCACCTGTCTTCGTTTTGACATTCTCTTGTCTCAGCTGCACCAATTCCGCTTTCAAGCGCTGCAAAGTGCCCTCATAAAGTTTTGTCGCTTCCCTGACAGCAGTCAGTAATATTGTTTCCATTATGTGTGTGAACTGGGTCTGAAACCCGTCATAATCTTCAAGACTCGCCTCAGGCATGGCGCGATTCGGATTAGTTGAATTTTATGGAGCGGACGTTATGGTCCCTTTGACAGAATCAACAACTAGGATCACACACGTCCAGGGGAGGGCGGTATACTTCCGCACTGAATGGTAAAAACTTTTATTTATAGGCTGCAGAAAAGGTTTGCGGTCTGCCTTTAAAACGAAACTGACACATTCTGAAGCACTGAACAATGTATGTTGATTTCGTCAAAAAAAAAAAAAAAAAAACGTATAGCCTATTGATATGCATTATTTGTGCATGAATTTTTCCAAAGTCTATCATCTTAAGTGCTCAAGTCTATAAATCAATCAATAAAAATGCATTATTAAATATAAATAGGCATTGAAAGGTAATTCTTGTTACTATCTATGCAAAGTGAACTACTTGATATATGAAGAGTCACAAGTGAATTTTAGGCCTTTTAAAATTGCATATTTAAAAATAATCAGTTTAATGTTGTGAATCTTAATTTTTAGCATTATAATTAAGATTATGTCAATATAACTAAATTTAAATGATTTTAATACTTATTTGGGCCCCCTGGAAGTTAGCTGACTGAGGCACCCTTAAGAACCATTGCCATAGAGTGGTAGGCCTATAGAATGCAGTCAAAGCTGCCTTCCTCGACTCCCCAGTGTCGCCCACCGGCCTCTTCTGCCCTGCGGTGGAGGGCTTCGCTGAGCGCTTCACCGCCTCTCAGACCTTGTCACAGGCAATGTGACACTTCCTGTCGAAATGCTCCAGTTCCCTCCAGTGGCCCTAATGCCTCAGAAAATCCGATCTGCCTGTTTACATGACAGTCGCATTGGCACATATCCGATTTATATCTGATTTATTTCCACATATGAACGAGGCCTGAAACCGATCTCGAAATATCCGAATGCATGCGTTTTTTTTTCTGTTTACACTGTCATAGAACACATCCGATCTGTGTCGCATATGAGTAAAAAATCGGAATTGGGTCACATTTCACTGACAGTGTAAACAAGGCCTTAAGATAACGCTGGATTCTGCGCCTCAGAAGTCGTCCATGATCTTCCATGAAGGAAAGTCTCGCCGCGCCAGACCACCCCCCAAACTGCCTCAAAGCTGCTCCCTAACCCCCCGTTCAGTTCCGGGTGTTGGAAGCAGTGTGTTTGTTGTAAGCACTGGGCCTGTTCATGTTCATGCCCCTGTGCTGTTAAACGCTGTTACACCACACATAATAAAAAACAAACATTTTTTAAAAGAGTGCAAATTTCCTCTTCCAGCTACCAGGAGTGTCAGTTCCCAGCACAGCGAAACTGCCGCTCGAACCACTCCACCTGGGCCGGGGCTTGGGAAGCCATCCCCAGTGTGTCAACATGGGTGTTGAACACTGTAAAACGAGGTTACTCGCTACAATTCGCTCGCATATCACTCTGTCCCAGGCCATGCTATCATGCTGCACAACTTGACGTTTCGTCGCTTCAGTCGAATTAACCTGATTCCAATGGTAGAATCTAGAATGCCTACCTAAATAGAGAGCTGGCCCCGCCCACTTCCAATAAGATTTTTTCACATGACACAAGCAGGAGCCAAGAATTCAAAATTAAAAGCATGAAACATGAAAGTGAAAACAAAACCCAAGAACAACCGTGACAGACACCAATACATGTAAAGTAAAACACACAGGTTATTGACAGGTTAACCATTTGATGCTCCAATCTGTACATCCAGAAATAATATTGTTGTTTTGTATAATATGATATTGTAGCTAAGAGTGTTTTGGTCAGAAATCCACTCGAGAGAAATTTGTCATGCATACTCCTGTGTCATTAGCAAATCAGCAAAATGTCATTGTTGAAGGCTTACACACTTTGTTTGTAGGTGATTTAAGTGTTGTTCTTGTATTATTTAAACTGCTAATTAATTATTTGTTCTGTACAAATTCCTATGTTAAAGAATAATTTGTCCGTTTAAGGTGTTGCATTGAGTCAGACACGATATTAAGCTTATAGGAACTTATAAATAATTGTGCTTTTTACAGTACATGTGACATTTATTACTGTTTAGTTTATTTACAGTAATAATATCTCCATCATATCTCCATCAACATAAGAGCTGCAACTACAATGTCCAAATCTGCACATGTACGGTATGTCTTGTCTGTGCTGTTGAAGAAACGTTCAGTAAAGTATTTGAACTGATCCTTGCCTCCTGTCTGACCAACATCCCAGGGTACAACAATATCCCAACTGTAGCCTCATAAGCATCTGTGGTCCTTTCTCTCAAACAATTGTGACGTGCCTCTAGGCCCGTCCTACTGAGGTCATTAATGTGAAACACCTGCAGAGGGTTATAAAAGGTAATGGTTCTCTGACTTGAGGTGGCTTCGGTTACCCTCTGTTTTTTTGTTAGTTTGGGTTGTGGTTGTTTTATTTTGTTTGCTTGCTTTATGTATTAGTTTTAGTTGGGAAGTTATGTTTACAGGCCTGTGTTATTGGAACGTGTTTATTGTGTTTTGCGTTAATGATGTAGCTTATTCTTTACTGTAAATAAAATCTCTTTGACTGGCTTTTGTTCTCGTTGCCTCCCTCATTTGTCGCGGCTTAGAGCCGGCCGTGACACAATTCTTTACTCCAAATGTTATAGAGCTATTACAAAATGTTACAGAACATCATTTGTGAAAACAAATCAGGTCAGACAGGAACTAGTGCTTTAAAACCAGCTTAACAAAATATTGCACAAAACAATGTAAGGAATCGTCGTTTGTGCATTACAAAGTGAAAGTGAAAGTACACACTTTTAATAATCTATAAACCTTTTGTGCAATGGAAAGGTTTTGCGGATGTTAAAAGTTCTTCATGGAATCATAGACGTCAATAAAGTACCTTTTTATGTGTATGAGATAGAATCATGTAACATTGAATGCAATGTTTGCTATAATGACTTTGCAAACTTTCTGCAAGACTGCTCAGGGAAAATCAAGTAAAACCTGTTCATGGCACATTCCTTCACTGAAGGGCCACCTTCTAGACTGATATCATGTGTAAGTATAAATAGTCCTACCTGAGGCCACTAGCTTTGACAAACAGCAGAGAATACTTTTTAGGTTATCCAGGATTGAGGTATAGTAGCCATTTCATAATATATATCTTATTTGCCTTTAAGTTTGTGATTATGTATATCGTGTATGTTTTTTTCTTTCAGATAAAGTCACAATGATTCAAAGTTCACTCTATCCAATTATCATCCTATTAGTCAATCTGCACAGTGAAGAAAGGACCCTGGCTTTCAAGACTATGCTAACAAATTCCATTACTCACCAAGATATAACACAAACAGCAATTTTACAAACGACAGCAGAAGTCTGTAAGGCTCAGGCACTTCAACAAGGAAGGAATTTTGTGCAGGTGAGAAAAGAAAGGAATCATTGTTTTTGGTGTGGCTACAGATTAAAGATGATTTGTTTATTTCCAAAACTGATATTTTATCTGTTTGAGGGCATAAATCAATTTCACATTAGAAATACACACAAAAAATGATATATTTAAATCATGTAAGAAATTAAACTGGAAGACTGTCATGGACTGCGTTTCCCATCATCATCCCTGGCACCTAACCACACACACCTGGAACTCATTTAGCCCTCACCACAAGCATTATTGTATATAGAGCACAGAGACTCACTCATTCATTGTCTGACTTCGTCTGATGCTAGAGACTACTTACCTGCTTTATATTCCTGACTGACTACCTTGCTACTGCTGTTACCTTATCCAAGTCGTTCTCCAGTCATCCTTCATCTTAACATCATTCCTTTGTGTGTGTGTGTGTGTGTGTGTGTGTGCTCCAATATTCTTTAAGCTAATTTGCTAATGGGATCGGTGGACATGCAGCGCGTGTGTCGACACAGCAACACTTGTTTGTTTATTTAGCTTTTTGGAGCGAAGAGGCCATTTGTTGGTTTTAACGGCCACACCTTTCTCAAGAAACGACACAGGCCAAGAGGTTGGGGTTATTGAAACTGAAAGTGTGTGTGGGCCCACATTACATGTTGTCTAGTTTATTCACTTGATTTGTATTGAGTGTATTTTGCATTTTAATTTATTTTGGTATGGTACCATATCTCAAAAGGGAATTGCATTACTGTTTTCTTTCTGGTACAAACTGAGTATTAATATTTGAGTATCAGTTCTGTCAGGACCCCTATTGTCAAATATGAATGACAATTAGCAGTTTGGATTGGCGGTATGGCTCCGTTCTGGGCGAGAACTCCCTGCGCATCAATGCAGCCTAGCATGGATAAGAGCAGGGAGAGCAGCAATAACCCCCCTTAGGGTAAACGGAACAGAACCAACATGAATGTATGCAGATATCATTAATTCAAGATTTTAAAGTACAACATAATTTGAGAATTTATTCTGAATCAAGGGGAATCATAATGCCAAATCCTGACTGGGCGAGAGGAGGAGCTGGGGATGGAGGAGGGTAATTAGCTCCTGATAAACGCGATGTGTCGGGAGACACATCATTAGAACCAGGTGCTACATCCATTAAAGGAGAGGGTAGGGGGCGTTACATGTTTATGCATTGTGTTCCTGCCATAACTGCAAAAACACCTACCACCTCAGTTCTGGTCATTGTGTCCAAGCCTGAGTGTGACAGGTAGTTGTGCTAGAAACTACTGAACAGCATTTTCTTTGATAAACTATATTGCACTTGCAAGTTCATGTCATACTAAAGCCACGCCATCCGTACTTTATGGAATAGTCTACTGATATATGCAATGTATTTTCTGTTTTAGTCAGCTGTATGGACAGTTGAGTCTCTGACAGAAGCTTGCTCATCTCCTTCATCAGCTAAAGGTTTCCAACAAGCCATTAAAACAGTTTGCAGTAGTAACGCCTGGGTTGATTTTCACCATGCGAGTGATGCAGAATACCACTTTGATGACGAGAAATTTTTTGGGGGCTGGATCCTCATCCAAAACAGTGTCAGAGCTGTTAAAGCTGCTGCAAAAGAGAAGAACTATGAAACAGCAAGAAAGCTGTTGGGTGAGGCTCTGCATCCTCTACAGGTATGTCATTAGAAAGAACATTTTATAACTTTTGTAGACAAGGACATCAATACATAATTCTCACAGAACTGATGCAATAATCTGATTCATTATTAATTTTTTATTCAAATATTTTAATCCTGCAGCTCAAAATATCTTGAATGTCTTCTCAGAATTTCAATGCAAGGTCAATCCGGAATCATGAAATAATGAGATGTGAAATGTGAAAGAATCTTGTATTATTTTGTAAGAATGTGATATTTTATGAATGTATAACAGGGGTTTGTATATATATATATATATATACTCAAATGCTATTTCAGAATGCTCTGCAGACCCAGGACATTTAAGAGAATGAGTTTGAGACTGGCAAATTAATAATAACATTTAGCATAAATTCCCTTTTTAATTTTAGATGTAAATGGGTTGGAAGTTGCCCATCCCTGATTTAGGCTATTTCATAAAATGGAACAAATTGTCATGAAACTGTTTTGATAGTTAAAATTGGTATTGCGTTGAAACTGATATTATATCAGATTTTTTTTTTTTCAAAAAAGCAACAATTTATATATGAATATGAAGTGCAAGTTATAATTCTGACATTATTTGATTACCCTCAAGAAGATACTGTATTATGAATGTTTGTGGGGTCCAAAAAACTTTTGAGTGTCCTACAGGTTTGGAACAACCAATAAGGGTGAACAAATAATGGCAGAATCCTCATTTTAGTTAAATATTATTTTAAACGCAGTAGTATGACAGTAATATGTATATTACAGATCAAATTAACCCATTCTTAGGAGGAAACTGTGCATGGCTGTGTTAAACATTTGTAATCACTTACTAGTGAAAAACTCCCATGCCTGTGGCATACAATCATAACATTGTTTTTGTGTACACAGCATGCAGTAACCAATCAGCTTGTAGCCGAGCCCCACCCCTTTATGTAAGACCTTTCTTGTATAAGTGCAAGTGCAATCCCGAATTACCTGTATGTGAGGGGACTAGCTCATTTATTGTCAGTTCCACAAATGCTCTCTTTATTTTATTTTAAATTAAAAATTGTAAAAAGGTTTTAAGAGAGAAAGAGAGAGAGGGAGAGAGAGAATGCCTAATTGATATTCCTGGCAAGATCCTTGAATTTTGACTCTGTCCTTATTATTAACAAATGGAGTCGAGGTATCGATTTTATGACTCAGAGGGCTGGAGTTGAGGATATGATTCCATCAACTAAAACCAGAAAATGATTCCATCGACCGAAAAACTCTGAATACCTGTTTGAAGAAGTCACTGCTCGCCACTGGTATACAGTATAGCCTACTTTAAATGTGTAATCAAAACCAGTTGTGTGACTATTCTTTTTGTTTGGCTTTAAAGGATTTCTACAGTCACAGCAACTGGATAGAACTGGGGAACCGATTTCCATACTCCAACCTGATCAGACCCGATCGCCCTATAGATAATATTGCTGGTATAGCAAAAAAAATTATTAAAATTGTGGTATTTCTGTTTGTGCCAGCAATTCTTTAATATCAATTCTTTAATATGCATACCATTCAGAATTAAATTAAGAATGTTTTAAAATTCTGGTTCATATCCTGAATTTGAACTGAATTTAATTTGCTAAGTTAAAAGTTCTGAAGGATCTGTTTGAAATGACACCTATAAATTTGTGCTTAATTTGTATACTTCTATACAAATAGTTAGACAGTTCATTTCAACTCTTTTTGGGTTTATATATTTAAAGGAGAAAAAAGACCCACTTGTAGAAACTGTGATGGAGATGCCTGTATAAACAACATCCTGGAAGACATCAATGAAGAGGGAAAACTGACATCAGGATACTTTTTGTCCAGGCCACCTGGTAATGAATTCATGCATTCACTATATCAAAATAAAAGAAAACTAATAAAATGCCAAAAATTCAGTTTACATGTGAATCCAAATTGAATATTGCAGAAAAATGTAGCCACGGAGGTGTAGCTGACATCTCAAGTTGGTTTAAAGGTGGAATCAATAAAGATACACAATCGTCCAGTCATGGTAACCTTCATGACGACGCTGCAACAGTGGCCATTGCTGCGACCAGACAACTACTGGAAGACATTAGAGGTTACTTGGGAGACTCTAACTTTTTGAGGTTGTCCTCCTAAATACTTTTTTTTCCATGCATGCTGTGTTTGAATGAATCATTATATCTATAATATAATGCCATGATCAGTTAATTGGCCATGGGCTGGCCATTGGAACAATTCAAGCTTACAGTATGATTGGGGAGCAGTTTACACAACACGTTCATTTGATATTTGTTTACACGGCAACTTAACAAGGCAGCGCTCATGGTACTGACAGACAAAGGCCCTGTTTTCATTAACATATCACTGTGATGTGATGAAGCAGATCGGATCATCCATCAATCAGAACATGGCACATTCTTGAAAAAATGGCCTGGACATGATGCCAATATTGTCAATGCAGGCTATATATTGCAGACTGTATTGTTTTCTACTTCACAATTCAAGATGTATCATAATACTTATTGACGTGATGGATATATAATGATACATCTTGAATCGTGACATAGCAAACAATACCCAGCCAGAGCATATAGCCTACATTGTCAATATGCAAATTCGGGGCCCATAATATTTTTCTCTTCAAGTTCTGAGTACTGATAAATTGTTACAATAAGTATTAATGGGGTATATGCACCAACAATTAAAATGTATCACACATGGGATAAAACAATATATGTGTAAACTCCTCCGAAAAAATGTACTAACTCGATTGAAAAACAAATTGTAGGGTGCAATAATGTAATGTCTTTGAATTATATTAATTTGGGGCTTTACATGTAAATGCAAAGTTTTTATATGAATTTAGGATAATTAATTTTTCTCCTTTTGGGTCACTCTCTCTTAGATTGATGGGCTTCTCTCAGACTTCAGTACTGTGCTTTGTGATTGACACCACAGGCAGCATGGGGGATGACATTAATGAAGTACGACGAGTCACTTCTAACATCACAGACAGTATGAAAGGCACTGTAGCAGAGTACATTCTTGTGCCATTCAATGACCCTGGTTAGAAATTTTTTTATTACTAGTTTCTAAATTTCACAGAGAAAATGTATGCATCTCTGAAGAAATGCAGAACTCAAGATTACCAGTATTACTATAATTACTATAACTAGTAATTATGCGTGCAAAGTCTGGAAACATGAACTTATTTTCTGATAACTGACCCTATTACATTCCCAAAGACTTTGGACCACTAATAAGAACAACAGATCCTGATGAATTCAAATTACAAATTAATGCCCTTCAACCGCATGATGGAGGGGACACACCAGAGCTCTGCCTCTCGGGACTCCGGGTATGGAAACACCAATATGAATGGACTCAAATGCTATTTCATAATAATTTGTTTACACTATGCATTCAAATGATCTATTATGGTATATTCGTGCACATTTACACCACACAAATCATAAGTCGGACAACTTCTGCTGGATTATTTGAGATTTTTACAAAACAGACTTTTTCTTTTTCCAGCTGGCTCTTACTAGCTCACCTCCCCAGACTAAAATATTTGTTTTCACTGATGCTGATGCAAAGGACAAAGAGTTAAAAAGTACTGTTTTGGCATTGATTGAAAGCACAAAGTCTGTGGTATGTATTAAGTTTCCCTTTAATAGTCTGGTTATGTCAATAGACAGACATAGACATTTTGCCAATTAAACAAGCTGAAAGCCTGCATCTCAATATACGGTTACCTGAAAGCATTGGCTGTCCATGATATAATATGCATGTTGAGTAAAAAAAATCGTGCTTTTACTTTTTATAGGTGAACTTCATGCTGACTAATGGTCTTGCTGCTCGTCGGAGACGGAGTGAGGATTCGAATCGAGGGCAGAGGCAGCATTACTCCACCAGGATCTCCAATCCCTTAAATCAGGTCTATGAGGATTTAGCTCTGGCCTCTGGAGGGCAGGCGATTGAAGTTACCAAAGCAACACTTCCTCAAGCCACCAGCATTATATTGGATGCCTCCACATCTGCTCTAGTAATGAAATCAATATCTCAAAACCTTTCCCACAGTAAAGTAGTTGTGTTACTGTATGTTTTTTCTGAAGCACATGGCTGGAAATGAATCATCACCATCCACAAAAGTGAAGAATATGTTTTTGAAAATGTGTTTAATTGAAATATTAATCCAAAATCAATAAATATGTACACAACTTAATCTCTGTATCTTAAGGTAACAGTTTTCCAAATTGTAAGGAACCCAGGAAAAACAGAAGCCTTCTCTTTTATTGTGGACTCCTCATTGAAAAATATTACAATCTATATTACAGGCAATTCTCTATTGTTCAACATCACAAGCCCATCTGTTACATGTATGTCCTGTGTTTCCCCCGTTCTTTGTGTATTTGGTTCAGTCCTGTTTCCAGTTTCCCGCTCCTCGTTAGTGTTTAGTTTATTCACCTGTGTCTAGTTCATTTGCCCCAGCTGTGCCTTGTTTCCCTAATCTGTTCTCTGTGTATGTAAACCCTGTGTTCTCCCTCACTCCTTGTCGGTTCTCGTTTGTGTATGGTACGTTTGTATTTGGTGTGGTAAATGTTTCCTGGATTCCTGTGTTAAGTTTTATTGAGTAAAGATTATTGAGTTTGATCTGCTGACTGCTGCCTCTCCTTCAACCTGCACCACACCCGTAACAGAAGAACCGACCGTTACAGCAGCATTATGGGCATCTTCCTCTACCCTCAAGATTCCACCGACCTTCTCCTCAGCCTCTCCCAGAATCACCATCTGATCGAGACCTACGTCGAGGAATTCCTCCACCTCGCCCATCAGGTGTCCTGGAAAGAGGCAGCCCTCAAGCACTCCTTCTGGATGGGTCTGGACGATCCACTCTTTGGGCAATTTCCAGCTACTGCCACCACATGTTCCCTTAGGGAATATATCGACAACATCCTGTGGGTGAGTGGATCGTCCTACACCGTTGATGTAACCCCAGATCTCCCTTCTGTTCCTGTCTCTCCACTGTGTCCAGTGTCTCGTTCTGCCGAGACCGTCATGCCGATGCATCACGTCATGCCCACCGTGCCAGTTGGAATTTTGGTGGAGCTAAAAGAGGAAGACTGGCTTATAGACTGGGACACAGAGCTCCCCTGCATGTCTGCCGAGCCTGAGCTTCCCTGCAGCCCTGCCGAGCCAGAGCTTCCCTGCAGCCCTGCCGAGCCTGAGCTTCCCTGCAGCCCTGCCGAGCCTGAGCTTCCCTGCAGCCCTGCCGAGCCTGAGCTTCCCTGCAGCCCTGCCGAGCCTGAGCTTCCCTGCAGCCCTGCCGAGCCTGAGCTTCCCTGCAGCCCTGCCGAGCCTGAGCTTCCCTGCACGCCTGCCGAGCCAGAGCTTCCCTGCACGCCTGCCGAGCCGGAGCTTCCCCGCGCGCCTGCCGAGCCAGAGCCTTCTCCGCTGGTCCCGTCCAGTCCTCCCGAGCCTTCTCCGCTGGTCCCGTCCAGTCCTCCCGAGCCTTCTCTGCTGGTCCCGTCCAGTCCTCCCGAGCCTTCTCCGCTGGTCCCGTCCAGTCCTCCCGTGCCTTCTCCGCTGGTCCCGTCCAGTTCCCCCAAGCCTGTCTCTGAACCCGTCACTCCCCCCAAGAAAATTTTGGGGGGGGGATATAAGCCACCCGAGGGACAGTCTCCACCCTGGCCACCTGAAGTGGCGTCTCCACCCTGGCCACCTGAAGTGGCCTCTCCACCCTGGCCACCTGAAGTGGCCTCTCCACCCTGGCCACCTGAAGTGGCCTCTCCACCCTGGCCACCTGAAGTGGCCTCTCCACCCTGGCCACCCGAGGGAAAGTCTCCACCCTGGCCACCCGAGGGAAAGTCTCCACCCTGGCCACCCGAGGGAAAGTCTCCACCCTGGCCACCCGAGGGAAAGTCTCCACCCTGGCCACCCGAGGGAAAGTCTCCACCCTGGCCACCCGAGGGAAAGTCTCCGCCCTGGCCTCCTGCACGTCCTGCTCCGCCCTGGCCTCCTGCACGTCCTGCTCCGCCCTGGCCTCCTGCACGTCCTGCTCCGCCCTGGCCTCCTGCACGTCCTGCTCCGCCCTGGCCTCCTGCACGTCCTGCTCCGCCCTGGAGGCTTCCAGCTCCGGGTAGGCCACTCCCTCGTCAGCCTCCAGGGCGCCCACCCCCCCACCCTTATTGATGTTACTCGGCGCGAGGACGCGCCTTGCAGGAGGGGGAGCTAATGTTACATGTATGTCCTGTGTTTCCCCCGTTCTTTGTGTATTTGGTTCAGTCCTGTTTCCAGTTTCCCGCTCCTCGTTAGTGTTTAGTTTATTCACCTGTGTCTAGTTCATTTGCCCCAGCTGTGCCTTGTTTCCCTAATCTGTTCTCTGTGTATGTAAACCCTGTGTTCTCCCTCACTCCTTGTCGGTTCTCGTTTGTGTATGGTACGTTTGTATTTGGTGTGGTAAATGTTTCCTGGATTCCTGTGTTAAGTTTTATTGAGTAAAGATTATTGAGTTTGATCTGCTGACTGCTGCCTCTCCTTCAACCTGCACCACACCCGTAACACCATCGGGTATGGAGACAAATTCTGAGCTTTTTTTTAATTATCATATTTAATATATAATATATCATATTTATAATAAAAATGATCAGTTATCTTTGATGGCATTATTTACCTCCACAGGTGATTCACAGACTAATGAAGAATTAAGTGGAAAACTGGGCTTGGTTGAGCATGTGGGCAACTTTTACACAGTGCGTTTGACTATACTTGATCAAGTAGGCCTTTGGAACATTAACATAAGCTCATTACAGGCCTATACCATCAAAGTCCATGGTAACTTTTTCTCTCTCTTACATACACAAGCCACTAGAGGTTGTTCACCCAAAAATGAAAAGTCTGTCATTTACTCCTGTCAATACAAACCTGTATGACTCTCTTTCTTTGGCAGACTACAAAAGAATGTCAATTTATTTTTATTTATTTTTATACAATGAGAGCCAATGGGGTCCATAACCACACCGGACCCTACTAACATTTGTAACCCAGGCTTATGGGAAAAACATGCCTGTGGCAATGATATCACCAAATGTTATCATGTTGCTTCATACGCATTTCATGGCACTTTCAAAGTGAAAGGTTCAGTGAGTGGTGGTAAAACCGTTTAAGTTTTATCCAAAACAGATCATTTTCACAACAGATCATTATTACATTGGTCGCTGTATGTATCGCGGCAGTTCGGAAATGAAATATCCAGTATGTGGTGATAAAAGGATAATGCTCCATCGCGTTTGGAAATAACCAACACTAAACCCTTTCCCAAACTGACATTACAGCCCAGCCAGCCAGTGTAATAAACGTGTGATAAATATGCATTTGCAGAAGTATCCATTCCATTTTAGCTCGCTTCTACAATTCTTTGAGCTCTTGTGACTGTTTCATGGGACTCACGCCTAAACCAGTGATCCTCATCTCAAGTGCAATTTTGTACAAGGTGGGCTACCGAGCAAGTTTTTCAGGGCAAAAAAATATGCTATAGGTAGAGGTACATTTTTCCATTGAGCTTACGTTGGCCTTTAAGGTTCAGATTTACATGAGGATGAATAAATGAAGACAGAATTATTGTTTTTGTATGAACTACCCCTTTGAGCACTATTTACTTGTTGAATTGGCAGGCCAAAGTGACATTGACTTCCTATTCAACTTTGTGGAGCTGAGCAAAGATGTTCATTCAGGCTACAGTGTATTAAGAGGCAGACCCCCAGCAAGTGAGTGACCATATTGCCTATGACCAATAAGCAACTTGTATTTTAACTCTCTGTATTGCTCTTTCCTTGCCACAGACAGTAACATCACACTATTGCTTACCGTCATGGGTGGGGACTCTGTTACCCTTACAGAGGTGTCCCTTGTGGAAGCATCAGGATCCCAGACTATTAATGGAACACTAGAAAGGGTTGCAGTTAGGGATTTCTTAGTCACAATGAACAGTGTCCCAGCAGGAGAATTTGTTGTCCGTGTGTTTGGGGAGAGGAGTTCTTCACGTTCATCAAATAGTCTCTTTCAGAGACAGTCTGTCACTCAAAACAGAGCTTCCAGTGTGGTTATTACTGTAAGTTCAGGATTTTTAACATTAGTTAATAAATGCATTTACCACCACTTACAAACATTAATTGCATTTATTTTTTCATACTCACTATTTATTCTCAATTTATACACTTAGGCTACAACCAATGAGGTATGGGAGCCTGGGAAGACACTGAGCATCCCTTTCACAGTGGTGTACAGTGGCTCTGATGCACTCTTCAACATTAATGCCAGGAATGACCGTGGGTTTGCCACAGTATTTCCCAGCACCATGTCCGTTGGAGGTGGGAGTATTGGAAATAGCACAGTAAATCTCACTGCGCCAGTAGCCACCACTTCAGGCACTGAAGTGACTCTCACCATTGAGGCTGAAACATCAGGGAAAAGTGATTTCAACTATGCTGTGCTTAGGCTTACAGTTGTTTCTCCGGTAACTATCTTACTTTATTTCTGAATTATGTTATATGTCTTAAATTAAGCAAAATAAAAAAAGTAAAAGCTCCCACTTTATATTAATTGGCCCTACCTTTGAACTTGTACAGTACATACTATGTAACTACAGTGCAAGTAGACACTGGTACATAATATCTACAGATATATTTGTGTAACTACACATATGTAACAACCCATGGAATGGTATGTGCAAGTAAATGTGTAACAGGACATTGGTAACAACACTTTTTCACTTCAGTAAATACACGTGTAACAGGAATTATGTAACTACATTTTGTAACAACAATATGTATTTACACAAGTTGTTCCACTTCCACACACAGTCTTAAATGCTGCAGTTACATGTATTTATGACTTGCAGGAATAATGTTGAATTACAACTAAAGTTTCACCTTGTGATACTTACCATTTAAAGTGTAAAATGGTCACAACTTACAGTGTAAAATGCAAAAAAAACTAAACATCTGTGTAACACTATAACAACAGTGTACTTACATGGTAACTCTGCAGGAACTGTCCACTTAATAAAATGTGTAATTGTTAAGGTAATTGTTGTGTACCATCACATGATAATTTCATATGAACTTCCCACTTAAATTGTGAAATGTTACATGTTAATTCCACAAGAACTGTGCAATTAAAAGTATAATTAACAATTGCATTGGTGAAATGGCCAAGTATCAAACCTTGATCACTTCTGCAAAAAGAGAAAAAAAGCAGTAAAGCTAAACAATGTTTATTATTACACTCAACAGTGTAACAGATTCTGAAGTAAAACTTCTGTGTACCTGCAGCTGTGCCTAACACTACACTAGAACAGCACAGGGTCCTTTAGACTGCCTAAAAGAAAAAAAGAAAACTCTGCCACTGTGAAATTAAATCTGCTTTTAACATTCTGACATGGTTGGAAATTAAATATATTTATATCCAAACTGGTTACTGCAGTATTTAAAGGAGAACTCCGGCGCAAAATGAACCTTTGGTCTAATAAAACATTGGTACCTAGTCAACCGTTCTCTGAGATTTGTTTTCATGATGATCGAATGTAAAGAGTTTTATCTCTAAAAACTCTTTAGCGTATAACGCTAGTAATGGGGGCATATAATAAGTAAAAAGAAATCGCTAGTTAATACCACTAACAAGGCTCAAAATAGCCCCACACGAACACAGTAACATAATGAGGGTCCCTACATGCAAAACGAAGCAGTGAGAACTGTAAGTGTACAGACCGTTTAATAAGAAGATAAAGACAGTCCACTTCGTGTATGCAGACAGGAGCCATCTTTGGAAAACAGTCTCGACTAATCAAACCACGAACGAAGTGCTAAGTGAGCTGAACTGTATGAAGTTCAGTGAACTTCTGAACTGTATGAATGGCGTTCGTGGTTTGATTAGTCGAGACTGTTTTCCAAAGATGGCTCCTGTCTGTATACACGAAGTGGACTGTCTTGTACACTTACAAAGTTCTCAATGCTTCGTTTTTCATGTAGGGACCCTCATTATGTTACTGTGTTAGTGTGGGGCTATTTTGAGCCTTGTTAGTGGTATAAACTGGGCGGCAGTGGCTCAGTGGTTCATGTTGGTTGTCTACAAACCGGAAGGTTGGTGGTTCAATCCTCGGTTCCACCTGACCAAGTGTCGAGGTGTCCATGAGCAAGACACCTAACCCCGGCTGCTCCCGACGAGCTGGATGGCGCCTTGCATGGCTGCCGTCGCCCGTCCAAGTATGAATGAGTGTATGAATGAGTGAGTGAATGGGTGAATGTGAGGCAAATTGTAAAGCGCTTTGGTGGCCATTGGGTCTGTGAAAGCGCTATATAAATGCAGTCCATTTACCATTTACCATAAACTAGCGATTTCTTTTTACTTATTATATGCCCCCATTACTAGCGTTATACGCTAAAGAGTTTTTAGAGATAAAACTCTTTACATTCGATTATCATGAAAACAAATCTCAGAGAACGGTTGACTAGGTACCAATGTTTTATTAGACCAAAGGTTCATTTTGCGCCGGAGTTCTCCTTTAAGACTGTGTGTGGAAGTGGAATTTACCACTTCCACACACAGGAATTAACATTTACTTGTCTAAATACATATATTGTTGTTACACATTTGTACTTACACATACCATTCCGTTGGTTGTATGTGTAGTTACACAAATATTACAGCTGTAGATACGATGTACCAATGTGTATTTACCCTGTAGTTACATATATACTATGTACACATCTAGTCACCATGTAAGTTCACAGGTATTGGGCCACTTAATATAAAGTGGGACCAGCTTGATGTAAATAAGATTTTGTTTAAACAAATTAACATTAAATTGATCAAAAGTGACAGTAAATACATTAATAACGTTACAAAGATTTGCATTTCAAATAAATGCTGTTCTTTTGAACTTTGGAATTTTCCACAAAAATATTAAGCAGCATAATAACATTATAATAACAACAAATGTTGTTTAAACACCAAATCATCATATTATAATGATTTCTGAAGGATCATGTGACACTGAAGACTGGAGTAATGATGCCACCAGAACATTTAAAAATATATCAAAATAGAAAATTTCACAATATTACCATTTTTACTGTATTTCTGACCAATTAAAAGCAGCCCTGACTAGCGTAAAATACTTTTTTCAAAAATCATTCAAAAAAATAAACTTACCTCAAACCTTTGAACGGTCACACACACATATAAAATCAATATACTTGGTTACTTTTTATTAAAGTTAAATTGATTGAATAATAGATGGTATCTGAAATAATTTCCCCCACAAGATCACAGATGTCACCTCTCCAGTCTGTGAGATTATCAGCGTAAATGCTAACTGCTCAAGCAACTGTAGCCTGTCCTCATGGGAGCTCTCAGCCAACCTTACTGATGGAAATGGGACGGGCATCGTGTCTGTGACTCTTCGTCAGGGCCTTGGAACCCTCAACACAAGCACCCCACTCGGGGACGGAGGAGTGAACGTCACTCTTGCATTCTACAGCGCCTCTTGTTGTTCTGAAGTAATGGAACTGGTTGCTGTAGACAGAGCTGGAAATGTTGGCGTTTGCTCAAGATCAATAGCATCTTCTGTTAGCACCACACCAAACACCTCAACGTCCAGAACAAACAGCATGGCAACAATGACAACGGCTCCCTCTATTAATGCCATAAACAACAGTTCTGGGCACCCTTTTTATCCACTTAGCAATATTTGGGTTAGTGTGGGAGCCATTTTGCTATTCCATGTGTTACACATCTAACCTTTTTGTACTTGTCTTTATACTAACATTCCTTGGTTTATGTAGCTGTCTTTTCCTCCATCACAGCTGACAAACATTTTTTAAATGATCAATAATTATTTGGTTTTACTTTGCCTATTGCAGATGATTCATGCTTTAATGACATTTTATAAATACTTGTATGGCTTTAAGGTTTTTTTTTTTTTTTTTTTTTTTTTACAAATGGTATGGGTATTAAATATTAGATCATAAAAACAAGTCTGGACTATGGTGTGATATCAGCTTGTAAGATTATTTGAAAAAAGGTTTTTATGTTTTATAACCACCAATCAAACTGACTTTTTATTAAAATGGGCAATTTTGGATGATTTATAGATGTATCTATTTTTCTGTATACACTTTATGTATGGCAATTATATAAAATATACCATATCTAATTTGCATTTTTTGGTTTGGTGAAAATCTCAATTTAACTACTACTGTTCAATAATACTGTTACTAATGGAGATAACCTTTCTCATTAAATCATTATCATTAAAATTTCTCACGCTGATGTTTGGGTTGAATATTTACTAGAACTTATACTATAACCAGCTTTAACCTATCACAGCTTCTGTAATATTTTGGAATTCAAAGACCATCATTTACTATACATGGACAACTTTACACAGAATTACACATCAGTTTTAATGCAGACCAAGTAACCAATACAAGAATGATTTATTTTGGAGAACCATTGTTTTCTATGCAATGATCTGAGATCCTCTGCTTGAAGATGCATGAATTTAATAGCATTAAAGTTGCTGATGTTACATTATAACAGGTATTAACAGTCTTTTTAAGGTAAAATATATACAATTATCTTTCACATTTCTTCCAATCAATGTAGAGATATTTCAACAAATTTGAAAGGGAAATCTACTGCACACTGCATACATACATGAAGTCAACATGAAACTGATAGTAGTTTACTTCAGAAATCTGATGTATTTCTCAGTGAAACATTATATTCATTATATTCAATGAGAAAAATACTTCACGACCGCTAAAAAAAGCATGTTCTATATAGTATGAATGTGTGTAGAATGAATATAATCCGTACGTACTACATTTGCCATGTTGTCATTATCATCGACCTACCAGCGCCAGCTTCACATTTAACTAATCTTTCTTTCTTTCTAACTAATCTTTCTTTCTTTCTTTCTTTCTTTCTTTCTTTCTTTCTTTCTTTCTTTCTTTCTTTCTTTCTTTCTTTCTTTCTTTCTTTCTTTCTTTCTTTCTTTCTTTCTTTCTTTCTTTCTAACTAATCTTTCTTTCTTTTTTTAACTATTCTTTCTTTCTAACTTTTCTTTCTTTCTTTCTTTCTTTCTTTCTTTCTTTCTTTCTTTCTTTCTTTCTTTCTTTCTTTCTTTCTTTCTTTCTTTCTTTCTTTCTAACTAATCTATCTATCAGCAGTCTGCAGTCAGTTCTTAGCTCCACACACACAGGAACCCAGACCAACCTCTCCCAGAGCCAAAAACCTTCTCTCTTCCTTCTCTCCACTAACCGAGGAAGAAGTATCTAAACTTCTCCTTTCCAGTCATCCTACCAGATGCCCTCTCTAGACCCCATCTCCTCACACCTTCTAAAGCCATCTCTCCAAGCACTCACACACATCATCAACTCATCCCTCCATACTGGCACTTTTCCTAAAGCATTCAAGCAGACTCGGGTAACTCCACTGCTTAAAAAACCAACATTAAACACATCACTTTAGAGAATTACAGACCTGTCTCTCTCCCACCATTCATTGCGAAAACACTTGAACGAGTTGCTTTCAACCAAGTATCATCTTTCCTGTCTCTGACCAACCAGCTAGATGTAAACCAATGTGGCTTCAAGAAAGGGCATTAAACCGAGACAATTAGAATGATTTCTGAGGGATCATGTGACTGCCATTACAGGAAATATATATTTTTTATATAAATATATTTTTTATATAAACAATATATTTTTGATATAAACAAACATTTAATTATAGCAAGCAACATTCAAACAAAACTGCTGAAAGGAAATGCACGCTTACAAAATATGTATGCCACATCACTCTAAAAACTGTTAAAGGAGAACTCCGGCGCAAAATGAACCTTTGGTCTAATTACACATTGTTACCTAGTCAACCGTTTAATAAGACAGTTTAATAAGAAGATATTTTAAACATACAGTCAACTTCGCGTATACAGGCAGGAGCCATCTTTGAAATACAGCCTTTACCAATCGATCTACGAACGCCGATCCAAGCCTGCTGTTCACGCTCACCTTATCACAACTTATAGCTCGTTCATATCTCACCATGCAGCGCACTTGGATCGGCGTTCGTAGATCGACTGGTAAAGGCTGTATTTCAAAGATGGCTCCTGCCTGTATACGCGAAGTTGACTGTATGTTTAAAATATCTTCTTATTAAACTGTCTGGACACTGACAAAGTTCTCAATGCTTCGGTTTGAAGGTAGGGACCCTCATTATGCTACCGTGTTAGTGTGGGGCTATTTTGAGCCTTGTTAGTGGTAACAAGCGATTTTTATTTGTCATTGATCTATGCCCAATATACTAGCGTTATACTAGCTTTATAGGCTAAACTGTTTTTAGAGATAAAACTATTTACATTTGATAATCATGAAAACAAATCTCAGATAACGGTTGACTAGGTAACAATGTGTAATTAGACCAAAGGTTCATTTTGCACCGGAGTTCTCCTTTAAAGCTGCAGTCCGTAGCTTTTTTTGGGTTAAAAATGATCCAAAATAGGCTGCATATTTGAGAAAATGCATAACCAGCCAGTGTTCAAAACTATCTGCTTGACTTAGCTCGATTCAAAGCGGTAAACTTGTAATAATGTTTTTAATTCCAGTGGTACTGGTGGATTTCCGCGGGAGATTCGAGCATGTCTCATTACGTCACATCTGTACACATAAAGAAGGAGTCTCGGCTAGTAGGCTATGTTGCCTGTGAGGATGTTGGAGGTGGAGATTTATAGCCTTTTCTCACAGCACTTGATATAATTAAACTTATTAATTTGATGGCGGATCCAAAGAAAGGTTCAAACGACAATCATCAGTGTCAACAGATTCACCCGCTGTAAAATGCAAAAGACTTCGTTCGGACTTCGGAGTGGCTACAGAAAAAAAGAGACTGCAACTGGACCCATGCGAAAACGTCTCCGGTTACTATCGTAACCTCGGTTCCCTGAGATGCGGGAACGAGACATTACGTCATACTGACGTATATGGGAACTCCTCCCTTCTCCATTTTCACTGAAATCTTATAGGCTAACGCCAGCTGGGGACAGCTGGCCAATTGACGCAAAACATGCAAATGCTGACCGGTCCGCGGGCAGTATAAATAGCATGGGCGCGACAATTACGTCAGAACAAAGACTGAACGCTAGCACAGCTGATCAAACGGCGAGCACGGCGGTTGACGTAATGTCTCGTTCCCGCCTCTCAGGGAACCGAGGTTACGATAGCAACCGGAGACGTTCCCTTTCAAGGCGGTCACTTCGACATTACGTCATACTGACGTATATGGGAACTGTATAGAATCCCGCCGTGAGCGCAGTGAAGATAAGCCCTGAACGGGGTCAAGCTTCACTCCCACAGGAAACAACAGTTCTAAGCCAGCAGCGCCGCTAGGAGCACTCAAAACTGATAGGCGAAACTAGACCAACGTCTGCTCCGGCTTTACCAAATTGCGCATCCACTGCAATGAAGTAGGGGTGTCCATGGTTAACCGATTAACCATTAAAAATTGCGTAACCGAGTGAAACATTTTGCTCAGTTAAGTGGCGTCAATGGCGTGCATTGAATTAAGTTGTAATACATTTTTGCACCACCAGAGACCGCCAGAGCGCTCCCAGACATTTGTAATGTACACAAGAAGTAGTCATGACCAGTTTTCAAATATGAAGCGGGCAAAGAAAAGCACAGCGTGGGAGCACTTTAAAATCGAGAACGAAGGGGCGAAATGCAAGTATTGCAATGCAGTGCTTAGATATACTTCAAGTACAACCTCGTTGTTGTACCATCTCAACAGCCAACACCCGGGCATCATTAGAGAGGCTGCCGCGGGGCCTGCGAGTACCTTCGTCCAGCCTACCATCCCCACGATGCTAGTGCAAAACTTGTGCAGTGGTGATAAAGCCGAATCCATAACACAGGGGATTTGCAGAATGATCGAAAAGGACATGATGCCAATTAGAATGGTGGAGCGCGAAGGCTTTAAAGAACTGATGAATATTGTTCAACCCCGCTACAGCATTCCCTCGCGTTCGGCAATCACACGCCGCATTGAAAAACGAAATGTGTCAAAAAGAGATTCGCTCAAAGAAGATCTACAGTCACCTGATGTAGTTGCCATCACTACGGATTGCTGGACTGCTCTAAACACGGAAAGTTACATAACTATTACGAGCCATTACATTGACGAAGATTGGGTTTTAAAATCATTCGTCCTTTTAACTGAAGCCCTGCCCGTTCGCCATACAGCTGATAACCTAGCAGAGAAGTTAAGGGAGTCCGTGGAAAAGTGGGCTCTTACGGGACGAGTGATTGCCTGTGTGCACGACAACGCAAAAAACATTGTGGCTGCTAACAGAGGCGTTGATTGGCATTCTGTGTCATGCTTTGCACATACGCTTCAGCTAGCTATAAATGATGGATTTTCTCTTTTTTTGAACCGCGTCATCTCCGCTGCTGCAAAGCTTGTGAGCCATTTCAACCACAGCTCAGTGGCAACGAAAGCGCTTGAAAGAAAACAAATGAAACTGCCACCCCACAAACTAATACAGTCCTGTAAAACCAGGTGGAACAGCGTCTGTGACATGTTTGAGCGCCTATTGGAACAGCGGTGGGCAGTT